AAAAAACGCATTCGCTGGTACCCAGATTTCCACAGGAGTTAAAACATCTCCTGCGCAGCTAAAGCAAGGCTCACTAGCAGGAAACCGGAACTTGCTAGGACTAAGAAACTTGAGGCTGGGTTGACCCCACGGCTGTTACGATTAGAAATCCGAGGCTACCGGAGACTCGGAGCTGCTGACAAATGAGTCACAGAGTAACTTCGCCTTCGTATGGCAAAACGGTGACTTCCTACGGCCCTACGGCCCAGATATCGCAGCCAGGGCTAGACCGGTGTTTGTCTTAAGTCAGGACTTGCTTGGGCTGAGAAATCACATTTTGGCCATTCCCCTACTTGGACAGGGGGTAGAAATCCTAGGCACCGCGAAATGGAAACTTGCTAGGACCCAGAAGCCAAGGACGCGCGAAACCGCGGGGTCCTGCGACAGAGACGCGCGGCGGCGCCGCCCCAGGACTGCGTTCTGCAGGCCCAGCCGGAACCCGTGCCGCGGCCCTGGGAAGAGACTGTGCCCGTGCAGCTCCCCTGTCACCGGCTCCGAGGAGCGTCGGGCTCCGCCCGCCCAGCCCTGCAGCACCCGTCCCCGTCCGGCCGGCAACGCCAGACTCAGCGCAACTGGGGCACCGGCCACTTTGAATCTCTCAGATCCGTGGCCTGAGGGCTGCCGCCACCGAGAAACCGAGGCACAGAGCTGCGAACAAGAGACCACCGCTCGGCGAAACGGCGGTGCCAGGAGCCTGGAAGGGAATGCAGCCAGCGACGTTGTCAAGGACAACATTCGTTTTGGCGCAACCAACGGTGCTGTCACCAAGGAACCGTCGACTCTGAGAAAAAAAGAGAAGTTCGGCCACCGAGAAACTCCGTGCAGCAAGTGCTGTGACAGCAAAACCGCCGGCTCCGCGCCGGCGGCGAAAGAGTCAACGGAAACGCCGTGTGCTGCCACCGCGACGCCGCCGGCACCAGAGGGCCTCGGATGGAGAGAGCTCCGCACCGAGACAAGGAAACTGTGCACGGCACAGCTAGCGGTGGACACAAACAGAAAAGTGTCTGGTCTGCTAAGAACTCTGCAATCACAAAATAGATTTCTCAAAGTTGAAACAGATACAAGTGAAATATTTAATAAAATAAATATAAATGTTTAAAAGACAAGGAAACTGAAAGTAATAAGCGACACGAAACAAGAAAGAAACATCAGGAAAAAAGAGAATTCAAAAACTGACAACCAGCAATGAAGGCCCATCTTAATGTATTTTTATTTTCTAGGTGGAGACGCTTGGTAACTGAGCATCTTTTCAAGGAGGAGAATCCAAAAAGCCTCCTGCTGGTATCTAAGGCTGCTTAGCTCCACAGATTCGTAGGCAGCACGCCCAGAGTACAGAGAACGCGGCAAAACCAACGCGAAGAATCCGCTCCAGGCAGTCTGAGAAACCCCCCGGGGGGTGGCGCCACAGATGGAGGGCAGGAGGATGGCGGCGTTCCAAAAGGCACCCGCTGTCAGAGACGTCGGTGTCCTGCTGTCTGTTCCAGGAATGGGGAGGACTGCACCAGGAAAGCTGCTGGAGCGTGAGTCTGTCGGGTTCCTCTCCCTGCCCCACCTCTTCCACGGATGCCTCTTGCTGCTTCTGTGTCCCCGGCCAACCGAACTCAGGGGACCTCGCTGTACTTGGTCCCGAGGTGCTCTGGACTCCAGGAAAGAGTCCGTTTTGCCAGTAGACTCCCGGTAGCCGCCAGCAAGGACTGGAAAGCAGTCCCAAATCACAGCTGTCCAGTGAGTACTCTCCTAGTACTGGATACAAAGGGAGAGGCCACGGCCCACGATCTTCTGAACTCACAATAGGCGGAAACCCGGGCTCTGGCGCCACCTCGGCGGAATCCCAAGCCCGCTCCACACAGCCAAGAAAATGTCGCTCCATCGCTTAAGCCTCAGACCAGGAGGAAACAAACGGCTGCGCTGATCAAGGAGGGAGAGACTTCTGCACTACCCTCAGCCTGGGTATTTATGCTCTCCAGAGCCCGTGGGCGGAGGCCAGTCAGATATCAAGAAACTCATTAGTAGCAAATGCACGAAGATTCGTAGACAAATGAAAAACGATAAAATTTTAGAGAGTACATAGAACCAAAACGAACCGTGATTCCGACAGAAAAACATAGCGAGAAAAGAAACCGAAACGAAACAACGCTAAGCAAACCTTGCAGAGAACTAGCACTACAGAACGCAGGTGTTAAAGAGCGCTGCAAGGGCCAAGAACCACCCGTTTTCGGGAAATGAGCGTTGCTGCCACCGGAAAACTGTCCGCTGGGGCTCTGCGCTAATAACCGTCTTGCTAACCAGAAACTGGCGCCTCGAACTTAGCAAGCGCCAGCACCTAGCGGCTAGCGCTGGTATTGCCAAACAAATATCCGTTTCGGCGCCGTAAGTGGGGCTGCTGAAGAGAAAGAGCGTGCTCTTAGAAAAGAGGGGTGCTTCCACGCCTAAACAACCTGTTTGGAGGAAATGAATCAACTCTGTTTAAATGTGTCGTGCCAGGAAAATGTGTTGTGGCATTTTAATGTGTTTTAATCCGCTCAGTGTGTTTGACAGGTTTAATAGGTTTTAACCCGTTCTAATGGGTTGTGACAGAAAAAGCGCCGGCTAATGGTACCACGGAGTTGCTAGTGCCAACGGCGGCTGGGTGCAATCACCGTTCTGCATCGCAAAACGGGCTTCAGGAAGTTCCTGGGAGATACTAGCGGTTCTAGGACCGACAAAGTGACAGCACTGAGAACGCAAGGACCCCGCGAACGGGAAACGTCACGTTGGGAGCAGCAACTGAGAAAACGCCCAGTGGGCGCTGCTAGCAAACGTGCTGATACAAAACCGCCAGCTCCGCATGGGAAGCGGAGCCACCAGACAGAACCCGGAGCCTAACACCAGCGAGGCTAAGACCGAGCTCGGCTCCCCGGCTCCTGAGAGAATGAAAGTCAAGAAGCACGAAGCTGAGACGCTCAAAATTAGTAGAGAAAAAAAAAAAAAATACGTAACATTTAAATAAAAATAAAAAATTAAAATAATGAAAGTCTGAAATGCAAGTAAACACGGAAAACACATCGGTAACACTGTCCTCAGAGCAAAATACACAAAAATAATGTGTAGTTGTTAGCGAAACTTACAGAGAGCCAACCGTACAAAGAAGAAATTACAAATATGGCTAAACGATGCAATGCCTACCATTAGAATGTTTCTGTCAGATCTAAAGCCCTGCAGGTTGCTCCTGTCATAATTTCCTACGACAAACAAAAATAGCCACGGTTAAACGTGTTTAGGTGCGACTAAAAAATCGTAGTAACTGGTATATGCCGATTTGGTCCACAGGAGGAAAATGTCGCGATGGGCGGGACTTGCCATTGTCAAAGGGAGCTCGGTAAAACCGAGAAATCGCGTTCGCCGGCATTCCTGACTTCCCTGGGAGTTTTGAAGACACACTAGCCTAGCTAAGACGGGACTCGCTATTGCGAAACCAAACTTGGCATAAGAGCTCCCAACACCGCTAAACTGACCATCGCTAAACCTTTACAAAACGAAACAAAACGAAACAAAAAACGCATTCGCTGGTACCCAGATTTCCACAGGAGTTAAAACATCTCCTGCGCAGCTAAAGCAAGGCTCACTAGCAGGAAACCGGAACTTGCTAGGACTAAGAAACTTGAGGCTGGGTTGACCCCACGGCTGTTACGATTAGAAATCCGAGGCTACCGGAGACTCGGAGCTGCTGACAAATGAGTCACAGAGTAACTTCGCCTTCGTATGGCAAAACGGTGACTTCCTACGGCCCTACGGCCCAGATATCGCAGCCAGGGCTAGACCGGTGTTTGTCTTAAGTCAGGACTTGCTTGGGCTGAGAAATCACATTTTGGCCATTCCCCTACTTGGACAGGGGGTAGAAATCCTAGGCACCGCGAAATGGAAACTTGCTAGGACCCAGAAGCCAAGGACGCGCGAAACCGCGGGGTCCTGCGACAGAGACGCGCGGCGGCGCCGCCCCAGGACTGCGTTCTGCAGGCCCAGCCGGAACCCGTGCCGCGGCCCTGGGAAGAGACTGTGCCCGTGCAGCTCCCCTGTCACCGGCTCCGAGGAGCGTCGGGCTCCGCCCGCCCAGCCCTGCAGCACCCGTCCCCGTCCGGCCGGCAACGCCAGACTCAGCGCAACTGGGGCACCGGCCACTTTGAATCTCTCAGATCCGTGGCCTGAGGGCTGCCGCCACCGAGAAACCGAGGCACAGAGCTGCGAACAAGAGACCACCGCTCGGCGAAACGGCGGTGCCAGGAGCCTGGAAGGGAATGCAGCCAGCGACGTTGTCAAGGACAACATTCGTTTTGGCGCAACCAACGGTGCTGTCACCAAGGAACCGTCGACTCTGAGAAAAAAAGAGAAGT